TGTGGACAATATAAACTAAAAATTATGTTAACGACTCGTGATTTAAATCCGTCAAGCCAACCTTCGCCAGAGCAGGAGCGACCGCAGCAACAAAGGCCGCTGGTGACATTGGACCAGCCATCGACATCGGCGCAGCAACCGGGTGTCCAGGCGCCGGGATGTTTTTTGACAGGCCCCGAGGTGAGCCGCGTAGGAATGCGAATGCCGGAGTTCACTCCCGCGGATCCTGAACTCTGGTTCAGTATAGTAGACCGAAGTTTTCAGGCCGCCGGAATAACGATCGACGCAACGAAATTTGGCTATGCGCTGACGGCAATCGGGCCGCGTTACAGCACCGAAGTACGCGATATAATTATGAACCCGCCGAATGAAAGAGCGTACGAAACCTTAAAAACGGAGCTAATTAAACGCCTTAGCTTATCGCAAGAACATAAAACGCGTAGATTGCTAGAACATGAGGAAATCGGCGACAGAAAGCCGTCGCAATTTCTGCGGCATTTACGCACCCTCGCCGGAAGCGTCGTCGGCGACCAGGTTCTAAGAACTATCTGGCTGAGTCGGCTACCGACGTATATCCAACCGCATCTTGTGACGCGCCACGCGGATACGAACGATCAGTTAGCGGATATTGCGGACGCGATCGTAGAGGCCACACGGGCGCCGACTTTTCAAGTCGCAGAGACTGCGCGGACTCCCGTGATACAGAACGCAAATGACACCAGTGCAATCGAGGCAAGAATGGAGGTAAAATTCGCGCAGTTACAGTTGGCGCTACAACAGGAAATGACGGAGAAGTTATCGGCGCTCCAAAGATCGATCGAAGCTATCGGAGAAGGCCGATCCCGTCGGGAGAATCGGGGCCGCGAAGGAGCGTTCCGAACTCGTTCGCGCTCGCGGTCGCGTTCTCGAAGCCGCGGACACGTATCGAACGGACTCTGTTGGTTCCATTGGCGTTTCGGGCCGGATGCTCGACGATGTGAGCCGCCTTGCTCGGCACAGCAACAGGGAAACGCAGGGGCCAGTCGCTAATGGCGGCGAGCGATTCGGGCCATTTGACGCGTCGCCTTTTTATTATGGACATTGCGACGAAAGTTTTCTTTTTAATTGACACGGGCGCGGATCTCTGCGTGTACCCACGGAGTTTGGTCCGGGGACCACGTCAGAGATCGACCTATGAACTCTCTGCAGCTAACGGCACTGTGATTAACACGTACGGAACGGAAACGCTGACATTGAATTTTGGACTGCGACGAGAGTTTACGTGGCGTTTCGTTATAGCGGACGTTTCAAAGCCGATTATCGGGGCCGATTTTCTTGCCCATTACGGTCTTCTCGTGGATTTGCGGGGCTCGCGACTCGTGGACGGAGTGACTAGTTTGACGGTTCCCGGTCGGTGCATGCGGTGCGGCGTGCCGTGCGTGAAAACAGTTACGGGAACAACTCTATATCACGATCTATTAGCACGGTATCCGGAGATCACGAGGCCCGAAGGACGACCGTCCGAGGTAACAAAGCACAGGACGCGACATTACATTGAGACAACGCCGGGACCACCCGTGGTGTGCAAACCACGGAGGCTTGCCCCGGATCGCTTAGCGGCCGCGAGAAGCGAATTTCGTAAAATGGTGGAAGTCGGGATCGCCCAGCCGTCAAAGAGCTGTTGGTCGGCTCCCTTGCATCTGGTGCAGAAGAGAGGCGAGGGATGGCGACCCTGTGGAGACTATAGGGCATTGAACGCGCGAACAATTCCCGACCGTTATCCGGTTCGACATATAGAGGATTTCGCACAGGCTCTACAGGGTAAGAAAATATTTACAACACTTGACCTCGTGCGCGCATATCACCAAATTCCGGTGGCCGAAAAAGACGTGCCGAAGACAGCAATTACCACGCCGTTCGGCATGTACGAGTTCAAGTACATGTCGTTCGGTTTAAGGAATGCGGCGCAGACCTTCCAGAGGTTCATGGATGAGGTGTTGGGCGATCTCGAATTCTGTTACGTGTATATTGACGACATTCTCGTTGCGTCAGAATCGGCCGACGAACACGTCGAACATTTGCGGGTGCTATTTAAAAGACTGAGCGAATACGGCGTTGTGATAAATCCCGCGAAGTGCGTTTTCGGGCAACCGGAGATAAAATTTCTCGGATACCTCGTGTCCACGGAGGGAACGCGTCCGTTGGCCTCGCGAATCGAGGCAGTGCGGGACTACCAAAAGCCGAAAACAGCAAAAGAGTTGAGAAGATATCTCGGCATGATCAATTTTTATAGACGTTTTTTGCCGAAGGCCGCCGAGATATTGGCGCCACTTAACGAGCTCCTGTGTGGAAACAGTAAGGGAAGGACGCCTTTGAAATTGGACGTCACAGGCCGAACAAGCGTTTGAAGCGTCCAAGGAAAGCTTAGTGCAGGCTGCTCTCTTGGCGCACCCAAAAATCAACGCAGAACTCGCTTTGTTTACCGACGCGTCCGAACATAGTATCGGAGCGGCGTTACAACAACGAGGCGAAAACGGGTGGGAACCCTTAGCATTCTTCTCGAAGAAACTAAAGCCCAGCCGAAACCAAATATAGTGCGTTCGATAGAGAGCTCCTTGCCATTTATCTATCTGTTAAACATTTCCAGCACATGGTGGAGGCGCGAGCATTTGCAATCTACACAGATCATAAGCCGTTGGTGTTCGCGTTCCGGCAGAAGCCGGAGAGGAGTTCGCCGCGTCAATTCCGTCACTTGGACTTCATAGCGCAGTTCACAACGGACATTCGGCACGTGTCGGGCGAGGACAACGTCGTGGCCGATGCGTTATCAAGAATCGAGGAATTGAGGTCACCACTGGACTACGCTGCGTTGGCGGAGTCACAGAGGGACGACAAAGAACTCGCAGAATATTTGTGTCAGGAGACAGGACTTAGACTAGAAAAAATGACGATTCCCGGAACGGGTGAACAGATATACTGTGACGTAACGACGAAGATACCGAGGCCTTTCCTGACGAGGCCTTATCGGCGGGCTGCTTTTGACCTGGTACATGGTTTGGCTCACCCCGGAGTTAAGGCGTCGGCCAAGCTCGTAGCACAGCGCTACGTTTGGCCGTCCCTGAGAACGGATTGCCGCAACTGGGCGCGCGCTTGCCTGCCCTGCCAGAGGTCCAAAATATCACGTCACGTTTCCGCACCGCTAGGAGAATTTACCACACCATCGAGGAGATTCGAGCATATCCACCTGGATATAATTGTAATGCCAATTTCGGAAGGCATGCGTTATTGCTTGACGTGCGTAGACCGCTTTACGCGGTGGCCGGAGGCGTTTCCAATGCAGAATCAAGAGGCGGAGACAGTGGCGAGGACTTTTTATGAGGGATGGATTTGCAGGTTCGGAGCCCCCCTCAAAGTCACGACGGACAGAGGACGTCAGTTCGAGTCGCAACTTTTCCGCCGATTAAATGAAATTTGTGGGACACTCCATCTTAAAACAACAGCATACCACCCACAGGCAAATGGCATGGTGGAACGGTTCCACCGCCATTTGAAAGCGGCCATCAAATGCCAAGGAAACGACCGATGGACTGGGGTGCTACCCACGGTTCTGCTCGGAGTTCGGGCAGCCTGGAGAGATGACCTGCAGACGACAGCGGCCGAACTGGTATACGGAGAAGCGTTGCGTCTTCCGGGACAGTTTTTGACCCGACGGACAACAGACGAGGCGAGCGACGCCGCTGACTTTGCGAGCGAGCTGCGCAAGCATTTTGATGAGCTGCGCCCGATCCAAGGTACGCGACATGGAGAACGACGGACATTCGTGCACAAAGACCTGGCAAAGGCGGAACAAGTATTTGTCCGGCGCGACGCGCCGAAGGCGTTGTTGCAAGCACCGTACGAAGGGCCGTATCAAGTGATAAGTCGAGACGATAAGAAATTTATCGTGAATATACATGGCAAACACCTAACGATTTCCATTGATCGCGTTAAACCGGCATACATGCTTGCAGATGACCGAGAGAACACGTCGGACTTTGTTAACAGGTCGCTTACGCATGGCAATGGCACGAGAGGAGACGATACGGGGCATACGGAAGATCCGGGGCCCCTCCCTCAACAACCAAGAGACCAAGTAACAAGAGCCGGAAGAAGGGTCCGTTTCCCGGAGCGTTTCCAGGCGGGTCTTTAAATGATCTCATCAATTATAATTTTGTATTTTGTCAGAAGGCCAAAAATTTATATTTATATTTTATACGTCACATTGTATATTTATATCTATATTATTTATTACTTTTATATCGTCGACGCAGCATAAGTCTAAACAAACCGCGTTTCGAATTCAATAACCTCGAATAATTTTATATATTTATTTTATGCAATTGACACGTCGCTAGA